AATGAAGGAGTGGCTTCACAACAACTCTGTGACTGTTCTTGAATGGCCCAGCCAGAGCCCTGACTTAAACCCCATTGAGCATCTCTGGAGAGACCTGAAAATTGCTGTCCACCAACGTTTACCATCCAACCTTACAGAACTGGAGAGGATCTGCAAGGAGGAATGGCAGAGGATCCCCAAATGCAGGTGTGAAAAACTTGTTGCATCATTCCCAAAAAGACTCATGGCTGTATTAGCTCAAAAGGGTGCTTCTACTAAATACTGAGCAAAGGGTCTGAATACTTATGGTAGAAAATCTACCTAAGCAGGTACATCAACTGATTTGTTGAAAATCAAGTGTTATAGTTGACCAAAATGTGAAAACTGATACAGTAAGTGAAAACTATAGGCTCCTCCTAAACTGAAGAAAAATCAAAAAATCAACCCTCTAAAAACCCACGAGCTGCAATATGGCATTACCATACACTGTACAGAGCAGCATTATGATTCAATGCTGCTCCGTGAGCAGGTATTGTAGTGTACTACCATCAGTCTTCATTAGAGTGTGCTGTTGCTTCATAAGAAACACTATGATTATTGCAATAAATACAGTACCACAGGCATGGAGTGAGACACCTGCATATTCAGTAAAACAATCATAAAACACATGTAAACTGATGAGAGAGACTGCCATTTGCCTGTCGATTTATATTGCTTGGTTTAGACATTCATTCACATCACCCTTTTCTTCAGCAGCCTCTGCTCCTCAGTGTTCTCTTCCTCTTTTACCTCTCCTCGCCATTCAGCTCTCTATGTCTCTAGGGAGCCTATCAGGCCATTTCACATCTGTTGAGTGGTGGAGGACTGTGAGGACCTGTCAGGGGCTCTCATTCGCTGATGCTTTATGGGACTGAAGCCATCCAGTTTTGCTGTATTTGAGTGATAGGAATGTAGAAAGAAAAAGGAGAAGGAGGGAGGAGGGGGGCATGGCAACTGTCCTACACTGTGCTCAGTTCCACAGGAGGATTTCTGGCATCGTTGCTCACTCTCCTCTGCAGATTTAAGGTGACTGCATGTGCCGCTGTCTGACTATTTTACAGCTTGTTTACATCCAGTCCATGTCCTGTCAGATCTGTGAAGAAGTAGGAGGGAGTGTACGTGGCACCAAGCAGTGGTTTCTCCATCGCCCAGTCCCTCCAATTCTCATCTATCTATCTATCTATTTACTGTATCTTCTTCCATCTTTCTTTCTCTGTTTACACACACACACACACACACACACACACACACACTTTATGATGAATCAGATTAATGAAGAGGCTGAAACAGTGCCAATGGGTACTCTCTTTGATTTGACTCCCTATCCACAGCTGAGCTCCATGTAATGCCAACTCTCATCCATCTTGCAATCTCAATATTTGGAATCCAAATGCTTACTTTTTCTCAACCAGGCATATTGTTTAATTATTTTTTGTCAGTATGCAAGGCACTGCATGTGTCAGAGGTGTGGTTGTTAGAGACACATTAATGTTAAATTGACAGAATGACGACATGAACACATTACGACAACTGAAAATTTATTACTGTCTGGTCAGACAATGGACACAGAAACTGATTTAAAAAACACACTATAGGTTAACTGTACTATAGAAAATAGATAAGATAAACCTTAACTGTAGATTGTCACTTTGCCTTCTAATATTTAGCCAAACTATGCTTGAGCCAAATGCTAACATCAGTATGCTAACATACTCACTATAGCCATGACAAGACATTCGCTATCCCAATTTAGCCTGTTAGCATGCTAATATTTACTAATGAGAACTAATGAGTAGTGCTAAAGTTGATAGAAATTTTTAAAACAGTTTATTTAATCATAAACCAAAAAATTGGACATAACAATATTTTGACCTGATGATGATCGTCAATGAAAAGTAAAAGGATCACCTAAGTGAATGTAAAGCCTCCTGAGAACATGGATACGTATGTGTATGAAATCTTATGGAAATCTCTCCAATAGTTCTAGAGACATTTCACTCAGAACCACAGTTGTCAACCTCATGGTGGCACTAGTGGAAAATCAAGGATCACCAAAGTCAGTAGGATTCAGTGTCTGAGATCCATGTTTATACAGTATGTATGGCAATACATCCAGTAGTAGCAGAGATACTACACACCACACTGGATCTACAGGTATGTGCCAAAAAATTAGAATATCGAGGGAAAGTCCATTTATTTCAATAATTTGTTTCAAAAAGTGAAACTTGTATGTTATATTAGTTCACTACACACAAAGTGAAATATTTCAAGCCTTTATTTGTTTCAATTTTGATGATTATGGATTAAAGACAAAAAAAAAACCAAATCCAGTATTTCACAAAATTAGAATATTTCATGTGACCAATAAAAAAAGGATCTTAAACACGTTGGCCTTCTGAAAAGTGTGTTAATGTACTGTATTATGTCCTCAGTACTTTGTTGGGCCTCCTTTTGCATTAATTACTGCATCAAGGCGGCGTGGCATGGAGGCGATCAGCCTTTGACACAGTTGAGGTGTTATGGTAGCCCAAGTTGCTTTGATATTGGCCTTCAGCTTGTCTGCATTTCGAGGTCTGTGTTCCCTCATCTTCCTCTTGACAATACACCAGAGATTTTCAATGGGGTTTAAGTCAGGT